TTCTACCTCATCCATTTCTTCCTCATAATCAAATGTATCTGTTTTTGTGCATTGTTTTTGTCATCTTCGTAATTTTTCTCATCTTTTCTTTTTTCATTTCGTTTCATATTATAACATGTTTACCCAGTAACGTCTTCGTCGATAGAAATTCTTGAAAAGAAAGTGGCATACATTTCATCCATCTGATCATCTGCATTAATTACAAATTCATATTCACTCTCTGTATCACCTTTATACTTTACTTCTACCTCTTTTCTGTAACAGTTTTCCTTCTCTCCATTCCAATCTTCTTTATTTTTATGACCATCACAATTATTTAATTCATCACTTCTTGAATCACTTTTTGAATCTCGGTCATTATTATTTGCATCACTATTTGACTCACAGTCATCATTATTTGCATCACCTTTTTATCAATCACCTCACTTTCTTTTTCATCACTTTCTTTAACAACGCTTTTATCATTATCTTCTTTATTACTTTTACTTGACAATATCATCACTACAATCGCCACTGGAACCACTGCTTTCATCATTATTTGTATCACTATCATCACTACTTGAAGAATAGATTGATCATCATATCATATGTAAGCCTTTATATTTACATCACAGAGTACATAAAACACACACATGAAATATTAAAGTATACACCAGAGAACAGTTCAATAATCACTTTAAATCCAAAACTGTCAAGAATTTATAAATCAGGACACATAAACACACACACTATTGTTAGTGAATTATACACCAAAGAACACTTCACTAGTCATTTGTAATCACTATTCATTTGTAACCATCTCCTTAATACTTTGCTTTGCACGAGCTGCAGCTTTACGAACTGCATGATTACTTTGCTCCTCTTTCGACTGAATAGGTGAAGATCGAATATGATCATTTGCCAATATCGGCAAATCTCTCTTGCTATTACATTCAATCGGATATAGCAAATTCAAAGGTCTGCCAAGAACTTTTCCTGATGCTATTTTTACTTTTGCTGATCTGATCTGCCAATCCCGACTTTGAGGTAACTCACAGATACGTCCCATTTTCCAAGCACCGCTTGGCAAATTGTCTTTAATAAGAACTACCTCTCCATTTTGAGCACTATAATGGGATTGTATTTTCTTTGGCTTCGGTTCTGACTGCATACGTTCACGAAGACTAATCAAATACTCATCTCTCCAAATTCTCCAAAACTCGTTTAAAATAGTTTGTCCTTTTTTCCATATTGCTAGTAATTTGTCACTTGTGCATTCACTAGGTGAATAATCACTGTCTTTGTCTTTTGTCTCCATTTCTGGAATGCCCAAGTTCGGGTTAAGACTCAAAAAATGGTTAGGTGTAAGTGTAATATTCGAGTTAATGTCGTCGGTGACATATACAAGCGACCTTGAATTCACTGTTGCCTCTACTTCTTTTAACAATGTTTGCATTTGTACTAAGGTCAGGAATTTATGTCCTAGAGATTTACGAAGAGATCGTTTTACGATTCCAACTAATCTTTCGTATGCTCCTCCCATCCACGGAGCTAATTCCACAATGAATTTCCATTTGATTCTAGTATTGGCTACGTATGATTGCACTTCATGACTTTGGCACACATTTCGCCATATACTATTTATCGTTTGACTTGCTGCTTTGAATTGAGAGGCATTATCGCTAATAATTTCTGCAGGTGTTCCTCTCTGAGATATAAATCGTTTGAATCCTAGTAAGAATTCCTCCGTAGACATGTCTTGTACAAGTTCCAAATGAATAGCTCTGATAAGGAGACACGTAAAAAGGCACACCCATACTTTCTTGGGTCCGTCTTTTGTTTTTATCGACAGTAGACCAAAATAGTCAAGTCCAACTCTTAAGAAAGGAAGTGCTTCCTGAACTCTGGGAGGTGGCAAAGGCGCAAATGCAGGCATCTTATATGGCCCGCCTTCAAAATAACGGTAGGTCGAGCACCTACCTAACACTGATATAACAACTGAACGTCCTGTAGTAATCCAAAATTTATATTGAATTTTCGAAAGTGTTTGAGAAACTCCACAATGACAATTTTTGTTTGTGTACCTTTTCTATTATCAGATAGGTAAACCACTCATTACGCGGAAGCAAGATCGGTTGTTTGCTCCTTCAGTTAATTCCTGCATTTTCAAGTCTTCCCTTGCTCCTCAAGATTCCTTTAAGGATCAATAAACAGACCTAACTGTCTTTGTAGGGTAGTTGTTTTCTGATTATATATACCGCAGATAGTTTCACTGAAATTTTTTCGTGTGTAGGTATAGGATCCACATATTTTCGGATGTTTCCAATTCCTGAGATGTTAACGACTGGTTTCACACTTTTTGCTTTTTAATTTTCTTAATGAATCGTGAGGCAAGAGCAGTAGTACGAATCAATTTGTCAACAGAAGAAAACTTGGTACTGTCCATCCCAAATGGAGCACAAATATTGTCATGATCATTAATTGTACATGCAATCGACAGATTTTCTTCATCAAGAAATTCAGTTTCAAAGTTTTTCGGAGTTTCTTTCCATGACATGTTTGCTCTCAGAAACCGTATTTTGGATCTTCATTTAAACTCTTCGCTGTTTCGGAGGACAATTCGAAATATTCTGAAAGCCAATGAGGACCATTCCACCAAAGTTTGTTATTGCGTAAGTCATGTATTGTTGCTCCTCTTGTTGCAAACATCTGCTGGATTTTCTTTTGATTTTACGTAACTTATCTTTGTTGTAACATATGATTTTATTTCTCTGATTCGATTACTCACAAACACAGGTAACTTTTTAGTTGTTTGTAACCATCCTATCACACATTGTGAATCCGTCCAAATGTATGATCCTTCAATCTCCAATTTTAATTGCTCCTCTACAAATTTCAAACACCTTACACCTGTCAAAACACCCATCAATTCTAATCGAGGCACTGTCATTGTTTTAACAGGTGCTAGTCGTGTTTTCGCAAACACGAGGTCGACTTTCACTTCACTACCATATTTCTGATGGAGATAGATAGTAGTAGCGTACGACTTCATTGATGCATCACAAAAGCACAGTAAATTGTAGGTTATGATTTCATTACTTTCCATTGATAGACACCTTGGAAATGAACACTCTGAGATTTTGCATATGTCTAATCTGACATCTGACCACGCCTCTTTAAAATTTTTCATCTTTTATCACATCATCCCACGAGAGATTTTGTTTCCAGAGGTTTTGTAACAATAATTTACCTTTAAGCAATACGGGTGAAGCATTCCCAACGGATCAAAAACTGATGCAATCACCTTGAGAACAAATCTTTTTGTCAAATTATTTTCACTTTGTATCCTAGGCTGTTTTATTGAAAGTGTATCAGACTTAGGATTCCAAGTATGACCAAGGACACCAGTATCTTTCATTTCAGTTCCGTCTTCTTTTGCTATTGAAGAATTTACTTTATCACTGTTTGTAAGCCATTCTCTAAGATTCATGGAGGCATCCTTGAATATTTGTTTGGATTTCAAATGTAGTTCAATAGCTTCAGTTTCTGTTTTTACTCCTGTCACAACGTTGTCAACATAGATGTCATTTTTTATCTTGTTAGCTACTTCTGTATCATATCTTTCTAAATGACTCTCCACAGTGGCACCTAGTAGAAATGGGCTCGAGATCACGCCGAACGGAACTCGACAAAACCTAAATTCTTGAATATTTTGTAAGTCAGTACTTGGTTTTTCACATGATTTTAACCACAGAAATCTTGTCACGTCACGTTCACTTTCTTGCAAACCTATTTGTAAAAATGCCTTTTCGATGTCTGCTATAATAGCTATTTTGTGTAGGCGGAATCTCATCAAAAGTCCACATAAATCATGAAGCATCACCGGTCCTCGATGTAAACATTCGTTTAAACTGCTATATTCTGGTTTACATTTTGATGAAGCATCATAAACTACCCGTACCTTTGTTGATTTTTGTGGATTTATCACTGCATGATGTGGTATATAATGTATCAAATCACCTTTGGTATCATTCACTTCTTCTATAATACCTTTACTTAATTGCTCCTGAATAATAGAATCATATTTCTCCAACAGTTCTGGTTTGTTTCTTAACCTTTTGACACACGATTTTAACCGTCCGAATGACAATTCTTTATTAACTGGCAACAATTCCTTTCTCCCTTCTTTCCACGGCCAGGTGACATAATATCTTCCGTTTTTCAAATTTCAAAGTATCTTTGAAACCTTCCATGACCTCTTTGTCTTCAGATGTCTCTTTATTTTCAACTACACCTATGGCTTCTGTATTCCAAAGATCTACAAGTTCTGGTTTCAAAGGAAGCGAAGAATCAGTAGATTGAAATATTTCTGTTGTAGTCTGGCAATCTCCGTATGTTAAAAATCAACAAATTTGTTTCACTTCCAGTTTCGTCAGAGTTTTCATCAGTTCTTCCTGTAAGTAGCATGCCTAACTTGGATGCAAGTAGATATAATCCAGATTGAATTTTTATTCTTTGTGGGAGAACAATATCAAGATAGAAGTCGTTTCCTATTAATAACTCAACACTTGAAAATTCATTTTCCTCTGGAATATTGTCTGCTAGGTCAACGCTATGAATTATGTCCTTGATGCCATCTTTTCCTAGAACGTTTATTTGTCTCCTTTGAATAGTTCCACTTATGACAGGAACAATGTTTGCACTTATACTCATATGTTCTCCATTCTTTAATTTTAGCTGTAACGTTGTCGAATGTGTGTGAACTGTTTTTACATCTTTGCTACCAAAGGTCACCAACTTAATTTCTTCTATCTTTTCCTTTTTTAACTTTAGTTTCTCTGCTAGTTTTTCAGTAATATATGTTCTTTGTGATCCACAGTCTAACAAGAGTCGCACTTCAGCTCGATTATTATTATGAGAATTCAAGATTTCTGTCCTAGCTGTCTGCATGAGAACCATTTCTCCTGAAGATATCATTGCATTTTCTTCAGTTATATAATCTGGCTTGGGTATGTTTGTTTTCAATATTGTCTTGTATTGTTTCTTTCGAAAACAATAGCTGTTTCTCTCCTTACAGCTCCTTTAAACCTTTTCGGGCAAAGACTTCGATGATGTACATTTGATTTGTCACAGTATACACATATTCTACTACTTCTACAGTCAGAAGACGTGTGCCCTTCTCTTAAACATCTAAAGCAGCATCCTTTTAACTTTGACTTTCTTTCTTCAACAGTTTTGTATCTATTGCATTCATCACTCCAGTGATTTTTGCTACAGTATCTGCATATCGTCGCTGATGGAAGTAAAACTTTCCTTTTCTCATTCGCAACTAATGCTCCTTCAGAATAGTTTGTCTGTGGTTGGCTTTTATAACGATTTGACATGCTCGTATGTCTATTCGTATGAGGATTTGTTTGTTTATTCACATACTGACTCGAGTCATTCAGAGATTTTGGTTTGTCTGATTTTTCCCTAGAAACTATGTATTTACGAAGCAAATCCCGTAACGTTTTAATACACCATTTAGTATCAGCACTCTTTTGTATTTCAAGTTGAAGAAGAACTTCACTGGGAAGTTTGCTTCTAATCATAGACACAAACACTTGTTGGTCTAAATTTTCATTCATCACTTCTAAGCTGCGTAAATGACGCTCAATCTTGTCGAAAAGAAATCTTAATCCTTCTGTATTATTCTTCGGTGGTAAGATATTCACTATACCTTTGTAATGTAAATCAATTATATCCTGGAGGTCACCGAATCTTTCACGAAGAATATGAATAGCTATATCATAATTCTCATTTGATAATGTCAGTCCAGCAACGGCACTTCTAGCTTCACCTACTATTTTTCCTTTCAAATAATTAAATTTATCAATAGGAGAAAGCTTGTCATTTTCATGTATCGCACTTCGAAAAGAATCCCAGAATTCCGTCCATTGAAGGCGATTTCCACTGAATGAGATCATGTCCAATTTGGGTAATTTCACTGTATTTGTACTTTTATGTTTTAAAGCATGTTGTTCTTCAAAGAACCTTTGTTGTATTTCCATTTGCTCCTCATTTCTTTCTTTGTTGGTTTTCAAAGAATTCTTGTTGTATTTTTAATTGAAGCTCACACATATGCTGTACTACAGTTTCTGCTCCTTTATTTTCTAGTGTTTTGTATTCTACATTAAGCCTTTTCATATCTTTTTGAATTATTTTCAAGTTTATAAACTATAGTCATTGCTTTGTCCTGTAAGGCTGAATCATTATCCATGACTACTTGTAAGAATTCACTATCACTGTCTCCAATAGCTAAAGCAATTTTTTCAGACTGAATTGTAAGTTTTTCCGTGTAATTATTGACTTTTTTCTTGCATTCGTCTATCCTATTTTTTATCCCTGCTTGCTCCTCAGCATCTATAAGCATTACATCTGAATATTCAGACAATAGCTGCTCCCCATTTCCAATCTCTGTATCTAAGAAATTGTAAAATCGTGTCCGAACACCTTTTAGATATGACAAGTTAGTATCGCCCATCATGAATTATTCACTGCCGTATTTCGCTGAATAAAATATGATGCATATGACACTACTTCAAAACAAAATATACTCACTTTTCTTGTTTATTCTCACCACGTGGCATTAAAATTCCTCAGCTATTCATTGCCTACTTTACTTACAAAACGGGAATATATAAACATTCAAATAAAATATTTTCACAAACATTTCAACTGTAAAGTACAGAACACATGTCTTCATAATACATATTTCATCACAGAAAATCACACGTGGAAATACATTATCACATTATTAGAATTTTAGAACTTTACACAAGTTAAAAATATTTCCATCAAAACACTTTTTAAATTCCTTTTTTAAAAACACTTTTCACAAAAACACTCATCCCGTTCGCGGGACCAATTTCAATGTGGTGGAGATTCAGGTTTTACACCAACATTGAAGACAAACTTTTTATTTCTTTTTCAATAAACACTTTATTTTTAATTTCTAACCTTTTATAAACTTTATAATTCTCATTTTAACTAAACATAACACACCGTGTATATTCCCAATGACATGTAATGTCCAATCTAACAAATGCTGTGAAAGGGCGTGTTTATATAGGCTAATTTACCGCCAAAATGTAACATTACAAGAAAAGCAAGAAAAGTGAGAAAGTGTGGCGTGGAGCAAAGCATAGAAGTATAATTTTCCCGCCTTTCTTATTTTTGGCGGGAAGTTATTATGTACAAAGACGAGGAGCAATAACATATAGCTCATTCATAGATAATAAAATAAAATAAACAAAATAATCGTGTATTTCACGACAGTTTCTAAGAATTTTGTATTAAATAAGTATTTGTCTGCCATTCTAATCCTGTTTTGAAAGCATTATTGTAATTCCGGGTGGAGCAAGTATATAGCTTTACAGATGGTGCAAAACTACCTCAAACTTCCCAGTAGATTCCTCACACGAAAGCATTCGTAATCATTGGCGATAACACAATGAACGGTTAAACAATCACGTTTAAAGCCTTAATAACGACATTAATCATCACACATCAAATGTTTTTTGTCCCCGCTTGACAATATAATTGGGGGCTTTTTTTATTTTGGAAGCCAAGATATTTTCGGTTATTCGTGTAGAGAAACTTCATCACAGTAGAACATTTAGTGTGTTATAACAGGACTTTAAACTATAGCTTTTAACTTTCATTTGCTCTTAAAGTTAAAAAGTACCTTACATAAACTTCAACTGAAGGCTAATGATTTTCCAGAGACCCTAAAATGTTGAATAGATTGACGACGTATTACTTGTTATACTTCATAAACATTTCAAGAATCTTCTTGTAACATGTCCTATGAATATAACGACATCGAATGTGTTCGGTTCCTTCTATTTTAGATCAGTTTATCTCAGAAAACGTCTGATATTAATTCAGTTTAAAATCATCACAACTGAATAATATTTACAAATTGTTTATACAGTTAATCCGATGTTTTTGTGTATTTATAACAATACGTTTGTATCCATTTATCCTCTCCTGTTTTGTGGTTTTATTGTTTTTGTTTTTTTATTATGGTGCCCTGCTTGGCACCTTGTCGGTGATCGTGTGATGCTGATTTTTATTGGAGGTTGCGTTTACGGAATGCCATCCTTCCTTGTTGATCTGTTTTTAATATTTAACATTTATTAGTTTTGTACATGTGTACATTTATACGGTTAGGTTGCCTGAAAAAAGCACTTGGTAATCATCTTTGTTTTACTCTTTTCATCTAATTATACCATTTAATTCGACGACATAGACAAACAATCTTAAGATTTATGAAGCTTAGTACATAAATGTCAATATTCCGAAATATCTGTAATTGTTATTTATTCTTCGGAAAAAGTGAAATTACTTGACGGCTTCTATACGGTAGAGCAACGCTAATGCTGTTTGTGATTTAGTTTTTTTACAGAGGTAACTGTTTATATCTTCACACTACAGCTCACCCAAACTATATTTTAAATTTGCTTTTTAGAGGAAGATTGATTTTTAATTGAACCTATATAAGCTGCAAGTACCTTGAACTTAGCTCACAATATTTGTTTTCTTGTTATGTTACAGAAAATACCTTTTTGTTATGTAAGAGAAAATACCTTATTATTGTTGATGTGTGCGTTTTATAAAATAATGTTTTGTATGTATAACAAAAGACTTCGATTTATCGGGGGAAAACAGTGCATAAAATATAAAATTGAAATTGTTTATTTGAGTTATGTTTGGAAAGTGATTTGATAAACTTTTCACTGAAATGATCATTGTAGACAAAAGAGTGCTAATTATGAGAAATGATTTTCTGATTGTTTTTCTGCGAAATTTACATATAGCAATCTGCTCATAAATTTACCATATTGAAATGCAGTCTTGTATTATGTCTTGATGCCTTTGTGAAAACAACGACTAAGTAAATAAAGAAATTAGACGTCTTGCCACCAGAAATATCTTCTCATTTTTCATCATATTTTGTTTTGTATATAGATAGATCATACTAAAGGAGATTTTAAAGATTCGCCACTGTCTTACTGGCTGCGCCACTTTGTTAAATGTATTGAAATTAATAAATCTCTGTAACGACCGACGGGTTTATCCGAAGACATTATAATAAGAATTACATATTTCATAATATTTGACAGCCAAAATGGGGCAGCCCTTCAAAGAAAATGTAATTTGGTGCCTTCATTATACTTTATTTCATAACACTTATTCTACTTCTTAAATTATCACCATCTGTAAAACTGTAAAATCCAAAATAGTTTGTTCATGTAAAATAGAATAAAATCGATACACAATAACTTATAATTTGGAACTTTTGGATGATTCTGATTTTGATCGTTTTCACTCTTCCTCTCCTTATATACTCGTACTTGGTATCATCCCACATTTCATTGCCCTGTCTTCATAATTGCAATCTGTACAAAATGAACGAATGTGTTGTAGCAACAACAGTTATTAGTAGAAGAGAATTATGGCTATCGATAATGGCGGACGTCTTTTGAACCGGCTCCGTAAAGAATCTAAAATAAAGTGCCAATAACGCCTAAAATATCAGTAAGGTTTGGGAATTTTGGTAAATTTCTCGATCTTTTGGACTTAAACATGTCATACCCAGGTAAATTTGCCCCTTTGCGCGAAGATTTTGTACAGCAAACAAGAAAGCGTCAACGACGTTCCTCAAGTGCCACGTCGGCATCACCCCACCCATTTGACATTTCTGATCAATCTTTTGTGCCTTCTTCGAAAAAGGAATTTGGTTCTTTTGACATGGGAGAAAAAATGAAAAGTCTGTCAGATATGATGGGACAATTTGGACATATAAACTATAAACTCGAGTGTATAAATAGACATTATGTTACACACAGCGGCGACACAGGACATTACAGAGTCATGGTTACGGTTGCTTGAGTATAAAAGTATCGACATGGAGGCCCGTCAGCTGCGCTGCAATCTCATATTCAGTGGCCTTCCTGAGGTCGATCATGATGACTGCTTGAGAATAGAAACAGAACTTATCAGAACGAGACTCCGCATGGACACAAAAACAATGAACTTTACAAGTGCTTATCGATCGGAAAACGCTAACCGTGCACACGAACACGTGAACCCTCGAAATCGTTCAATATTTGTAACGTTTAGTGATGCTGACAACAATTTATTCTCGAAATTGCATCACTTTATCCAGGCAAAAGCACGTTAATCCACCACCGCTGAGGACATTCCCGATGTTTAACCAATACAAGGTGGGGTTGGCACTCCATTTCAAGGCAGAAATGTCACTCAATCGCCTGACGAACCCAAAAGGGTCACACACAAGCACGACCTCAATGATATTGCTCCAAAACAAAACTTGTTAAAATGGATATTATTAATATCCCGCACTATACTTTCTTCTCCAAACCGCGCCTAGAAAAATTTACACGTAAGGCCATTTTTTTTATATTTTGGTTTACTGATTTTTTCCAAAAAAAAGGTAGGGTCGGAGGAGGGGAAAAAAAAGGAAAAGAAAAAGGTTTTTTTGTTATAATTATCTTCATGTCTGGAAGGTGAGATACTTTATAAGTATCCCTTCTCTTATGATTAGTCCATTCCCATTCTGATAAATGTGATGCGTATGTTGTACTTACGAGAGAAATTAAGTGACCGACTGTCTTAATTCCACAGTGCTTATAAATACACAAAACAACAAAATAGCATCCACAAATTGATAAAATATCATGTTGCTATTATTTAATATACACACGAGATGACCTCGCCGACCCTTCAAAAGAATGCGGTAAATCTTTGATGTTCACACAACATGTAGTCCCAGTTGTTCAATCCGAATCATCAAAGGTGCCAAACTCAACTGACTTGCACTCATTTATTTAATATAACAGAAGTTTAAAAACCTGTCAAGAAAAACCCTATTACACATGTTAAATTAGTGTCCAAGTCAGAGACATAGACATAATCAAGTTGAAAAATATTTCTATCGGAAAATTAGCGGTCAATTACTGACATGTAAATTATTAATAGTAAG